GGGGGGCTGGGGGGGAGCACACCTCCAAAATCGGCATTTCGGACTCGGAGGACTCGTCGGACTCCCAGTCGCCCTCGCCCAGGTCCTCTTCTTCCGCTTCGGAATCCTGGTAGCGCTGAACCAGCTGGTGGAGCAAGTGGGAGGAGGTTTTGGTGAAGTTACCTGGTGGCTTCCGTCCCATGGGGAAAGCAGACGGAGACGGACGCTCGTTTTCTGGGTGCGGAGGCTGGGCCCCACTTGGTGAGTTGTTCTGCCCCAAGGGGGGCTCTCCCCATCTCTGGGGACCTTTCTCGGGGGCTGCCATCTTGTTTAATGGGGTTGCTTAGGAAACAGGCGGCTGGGGAGGTGGGGCCGCAAGGAACTCTGGGAGTTGTAGTTCTGCCCTGCGTGCGTGCTCGCTGTTTTTCTTGCCCATTCAATCTCTGGATTGCTCTCCCTTCCTTCCTTCCTTCCTACCTTCCTTCCTTCCTTCCTTTCTTCCTTCCTTCCTTCCTTCCTTCCTTCCTCCTGCCTTCCTTCTTACTTTCCCTTCTTTCTCTTTCTTCCTTCTTCCCTCCCTTCCTTCTTTCCTGCCTTCTTTCTTTCCCTTCTTTTTCCATCCTTCCTTCCTTCCTTCCTTCCTTCCTTCTTCCCTCCCTCCCTCTCTCTCTCCTCTCTCTCTCTCTCTCTCTTGCTTGTCTTTCTTGTCTTCCGGTTACGTCTTCTCCAGCTCCTTTTTCTTGTCTTCACCTTCTGTCTCCCCACCTTCAGCCACTCTTAGAAATTTTTCATATTCACAAAGGACTCTTCTCACAAAGTCATACTTGGGGAAGGTTTGATGTCCCTAGTGTCAGAAAGCCAGTTAACACTGAAATTTAACTCTGTGCAGGTCAGGGTGCCAGGAGATGAGAATATGTGTAAATGAAATTAGAAGACATGGCTCTTGTCTTTATGGTTAAATTGTCGAAAATAAAGAAAAACTACCAGAAGACGTCTGAGATCTTACTTGCAATTTGCAACCACTTCCCTGAAATAATAAACCAGGTCTGTAGGGAAAACAACAACAACAACAAAAGAAAACTAGCAGTGGTTTAACAATCCAGAGACAGGAGGGGGGGAGGGGAGACTGTCAAATTGATATTGCATCTGACAGCTTCTGAAAAATCTATTAGCATCCCATAAATAATTGTAGTCGTCAAGTGACCTGCAATGTTAATTATGCTCATCTTGTTACAAAGGTTCTCTCTACCGTTTTTTATAAAATACTCTTGCAAGCTTACAAAGCATGATTTTCTGCTAGTCTGATTTTATGTGACCCAAATCCCATAGTCTTAAGCTCCACAAGGTAGACACTCCATAGAGAAGCAGGATGGAAATTACAGTGACTATTATTGCCATTGTGATGACAATAGAAATCCTTGCAGGAAAGTCCCCTCATCCTTCTGGCCTTACATGGGCCTTTTCTCCGCGCTTCAGTGACAGCAATTGCAAATACAAAATGATCCTGTCAATGGCTGTCAGGGGAGAAGGAGAAAAAATCCTTATGGACACCATCCATTGACTATTATCTTTCTCAGTGCTTGAGGGACCGGTAAAACAGACATAAAGCTTTCAGAATTACCTCCCTTCATTATCTTGCTAGTCATAAATGTAAAGACCAAAATGAAAGTATCTCTTTTTGCTTAGGCTTGTCTTGCTTCTTGGTTATTTATTTTTCTGAAAGGTAGAGATACGTCCAAGGGGGTTTCTTCCCAGCCTCATCCCCATAGGGTCTGGCTACAGCTAACTGACACTAGGAAAAGGAGACTATTTGCTGTCCCTTTACAGAAAATATAAAAATGCAAGCTGTGTGTGTGAGAGAGAGAGAGAGAGAGAGAGAGAGAATGTTCAATCCCCTTTACTAGTACACACTGATATAACAATTGAAATTTAACTACAGTAATGTTTATGAATAATTACACTGGGCAACTGGCTAAGTGCTATACATATCTGAATTCATTTAATCCATACAGGGACTCTACCAGGTAAAGATTCATACTACTACTACCATATTATAGATAAAGAAAGATAGGCATAGAAATAGTATATAAACTTTTCAATCCACTTTGTCAGACAGTGGCAAAGTCAGGACTCAAAGGAAAAGAGCCTGGTTTCCTAGTCCACATCCTCAATCAATGCACTGTATTACTCAACTGCTTTGGTAAAATCTTTTGGGGAAACCCTTCAATTTTAGGTAATGTGGTATGTTAACATCATCCATCTGTGTTTTCTTATCCCATTCTATGAAGAAAGGATGATTCTCTTGGGAAAGGAAGCTTATTATCTAACAAAAAAAAAAGCTCAGTGGGTTTTGGACATTGAGCCAATAACTACACAAGTAACCATTTACTTTGAATTTTCATAGGGGTTAAAAATGGAAACTATAAGGGCTGGAAGAATATCATCTGGGATCTTGATCCAATATGGTAAGAAGAGTTCCTACAAAAATACCTCATAGACAAAATCATAATGATTATAAATAAAGTTGAGAAAAGAGAGTACAACAAATAAGGAATTTGTAGAAATCATCTATCTTCAGATTATTATTATCATAATTGCTGTGCTAATGGGATCTGATAAAATTCAGGCAGGGCTTGCAGACAAACCATATCTATTATATATCTGTCTATTACATATCCAGCAAATACTAAACGCATTGGGGTGGGGGAGGTGAAGGGAGTCCCCTACTAGCAGAGAACCTGAACCCGATTCTGATATTGAAATCAAACATAAAAATTACAGTATGGGAACAGATGATCTTAAAAGCTCTGAGACTGAGGTAGACCAGGAAAACCAATGATGAATAAAGTCAGGGCAGAGGAGTAGATGGAGCTTTCTGAGAATTTCTAGCTCAGCCTACTTCAGCTACAAAAACCCATATTCTATCAGGGAAAGCACAAAGAGAAGGATTAAAATGATTGAAGTGATGAGCAGCAGGGATGAGATGAAATGTTTTGGGTGAAGAAATGAAGATTTAAGGGTGTTATGCTAGGCTTCAGAGAAGCTCAAAGATGAGGAGGAAGTGGGGAAGAAATGGCAGGAAGGAGCAAGATCTTGACTGATGCAGATTTAATAGTCACAGCATCTCGATGGCATAGAATAATGTAAACAGAAGGAAACTTGGCAAGGTGGCACACATAATCCCAGCATTCAGTGGGGTGGAGACAGGAAAACTGTGTGTTCAGAACCCACCTGGGCTACATAGTAAGAGCCTGTCTCAAAAAACAAACATGCAAACAAAACCCAAACAACAACAACAACAAAACTAGAAGAAAGAACAAACAGGAAACAAGAAGATACAATAGGCAGGAAATCTCATCATAGCCTACTTCCCTCACCTACTTTGAAACTAGCCACAGGCTTCATCTAGTGAACAGCAAGTATAGAATCATGGTGCTGTCTGGAAGAGAAAAATCATGCGGGCTGCAAGTAAAGCCCCAGAGACACCAAAGTAACCAATATCACCAACTGGTACAACCTAAAAGGCCCTATACTGTATAGCAAAGTCTGTTTCAGGTGCTATGAACACAGAAAAGGTGAAGGCTTTCTTGGTCTCTTTATGAAAGAGAATGGCATTATGGCTGGACAGCAAGGTACTTAAAAAAAGTAATAACAGTATTCCCCAGGAGATTAGTTCATATAGTCTCTCCTGGGCTTGTGTGCCAGGCCTTCAGGGAAGGAAGGTGTTGGAGGTACAGGCAGACCATCACTTCCCATTTACCACTCTCAATGATGCAGATGAAAGAAGGCCCCAGGCCCATCTAGGGGAGTCTTCATATAAGAGAATATCAGACCCAAGACAGCTGCTCGGGAGCTTCATGAATGAGGTTTAACCATGGACAGATGCTATCAGGAGAAGGAGGGGTGGACATCCTGAAAAGGGAGTAACATAGATGAAGCCAAAGAGGCTAGCTAGGATGTGCTTTCGCACAACTCTGAGAAGTAACTAGTTTGCAAATAAAACTTGCTCGCAGGAATTTAGGAAGAAGAGGGAAGTTGAGGAAGAAGATGAAATTGCCTCCTGTGGCAAAATGTCTACGTGGAATCTAGGAGAGGAGAGTTAAAAGAAAGGAAGAAAAGAAAGATGAGCATAGACAGCCATGAGCAGCAGGTAGGGACTTTGTAGTTCTTGGTTTCATATGAAGTCTATTGTAGACAGAGGCTGGCTGCCCATGAGATTGGAAGGCTTGAGATGGACATTTTGGGCATCTTTTACAATATCTATTTGTACTCAAAAGACCAAATTTCCTCAGTCATCTTTCTCCACTAAGGGCTCTCTCTTTTTCAAAATGTGCCCTGCACTTAGTAAGTACTTTGTAAACATAAATGGCTCCTCAACCACTTAGCTTTACTTACTACACAGAAAGAAATATTCATGCATGAGTGGAGATGAGCTAGCAGAATGCCTGGGTGGGAAAGGACTGGCTGGTCTCTGAAATCTCTACCACCATTGTTTGGAAGTAATGTAGCTTAGAGTCAGATCTGTGAGGTGATCATGCCAGTCCTAATGGCCACATCATAAGATTTGAGAGGAGTTAAAGTGAGTTGATTCAGCGTGGTAATCACAAATACAGCCATCAGTCCTCCTGCCACTGTGTATTGCTCTGGCAAGGGAACACTATAGCTTCCCCTATGTAGAGGAGGAGTCTTTCTCCAGCAGTTGAGTCTGGGCCTGGCTGTGTCACTTATTTGGGCCAACAGAACCATAACAAATATGGCAAAGGCAGAGACTTGCACAAGCTTGAGTCCTGCATCCTCTTGTCTGTTGCTCTTTTGGATACTGTGATTACCCTGTGTGAAGAAGTTTGGTTCAGTCTTAGCCACCTGCCTCCTATTTCTAGACATAAATGAAGCCCGCTTAGATCACCTAGTACCTAGATCATCCAGCACTAGATCAGCCAACTGAGTCAAAATTCATGAGGGAGCAAAGACAAAGATCACAGGCCAGAGAACTGCGCCATCAACTCACAGAATCATAGCTTACAATTAGGGCTGTTTTCATTACAACAGAAGTTAGCTTATACATACCAACTGGATTGTCTAGAGCCCCATCAACAGTTGAATAATAGATTGAGGTTAGAATCTTTACTTTCTGACTCTGACTAAAGTGACTAGCTTCATATTAGTCTTTGCTACTGTAGACAGGAAATTTTGTGCTATTATTAAGTCTGAAAAGAAAGCTTCAGATCTTTCCAACAATGCAAGTGTATTAGTAGCCAGGGCTCTCCAGAATTACACAACCGAAATGATGTGTGTCATACATTCATTGTAGAGATGTAGATACCT